GCCCTCGAGGTCGCGAAGGTACTCACGCCTCGCGCTTCGCGCTTCGGCTCCGACGCCTCCTCGTCCGCCTCTTCTCTCCTGGGGGGGCTGCGCGGGAGCGCGAAGTCATTCGCGCTGTGCGAAGCGCGAAGCTGGGCGCCCTTGGAGATCCGACGCTCCGACAAGATTCGAGCTGAGAGGAAGAAAGGGTACTCATACCGCCACCCTTCGCCCGTTTTCCCCGTTTTAGGCCCTCCTGGGAGGCCCTCGTCGCCACCGCTGGATTCGCCCCGAATTCCTGGTCAGCGCACCCCGGGATTCACATTTGGTCGCTCAAGAAAGTTGAATACATATATTTATATATAAAGGTGCACATATATATATGTATTAGCTAAAGACATGCGAATACATACACATGGGAAGCTCCACACTGATATATACATACATATATATATATATATTGATCTACACATATTTGTATATATAGTATATATAAATATATCGAAAGACGGACCGACATACATATAGACATCTATGTGTGTATACATATATATACATATATATATATATATATATATATATGTATAACGAAATCCCGGGACCCGGGCCCCCGGGGCCGCGACATCTACCACACATGTGGGCGTGTAGGTGCTTGGGGGCCCTAGAGGCCCACAACACGCCACTTGAAAGCGCCAAGAGAGCCCGAAGACGCTGCCAGAAAGACCCGAGACGCCCACAGGCCGCTGCAAGACGCCCAAGATGGCCTCCAGACGGCTTAACAAAACCCCCAAGACACCCCAAGCGGCCCACGGAGGCCTCCCCCCAGTGGTGTTCTTTCCTCTTCCTCCTTCCTCCTTCCTTCTGCTGCTAGCCACCCATGCTGATATAGCCGACATGGTCAGTAGTCGGCGGCGAGTGAAGGGGGGAAGTGAGAAGGAAGAGGCCGTCTCAGAGAGCGGCGGGACTCCTCAGAAGCCCTCGCGCCTTCTGAGAAGTTTTCTGTGTCTCCCGGGAAGGCTTTGACCACTTCTCAGAAGGCTGGGGGACTTCCTAGCCTTCTGAGGAGGCCCTCCCCTTCTCACTTCCCCCCCGCGCTCGCCACCATGATTTGGTTGTCACTGCTGGCAGGCTTGCAAACCTACAAGGTGTTGTGTCTAGCTCGGCTGCTTTCCCGTGACTAGTATCGTTGGCGCACGTCCGCTTGCTCTGACCATACAGTCGGGGCCCTGAAGAAGGAACCCTTTTCGTTGGGGAGGGGCTCCGCGTTCCTTAAGTGTTTCGCAGCTTGCCTCAGGTTTTCCTTCTGTTTTCGATCGGACATCGAAGTTTAACTCATGGAAAAAGGGGGCCTCGTTCCTTATTTGGGGTTCCTTAGGTCAAGCCCCCGACTGTAGGTCTTGACGAGGGGCGTACCAATGCCAGGGCCTCGTGCGAAACATGAGTGCTCGGTGGCTGGCTGCGTTTGGCATGTTCGGGGACAGCGTTCGCATGCTGCCCATCGGTCTTGGCATCGCTCGGACGTGTGCATTTTTTCTTCGGCGGGGACCTTCGAAGAGCATCCTTGATCATTTGGCGAAAAAACCACGCACGACACCGACAAAAAACACATGGAATGGACGTCCGAGCGATGGCCAGTCGGTCACCGCCGAGCAGCTCCATGTTGACGTCTTGGCCAGGTGCTGCTCGCCGCCGCCGCGCTCCTGCTGCGGCTCTTCCTCGCTGTCCCGCTGCTCCTCGGCTATCCTCCCTGCTGCTGCTGTCGCTACAGAGCGCGGCGGCCGCGAACAGCGGAACAGCGAGGAAGAGCAGCCTTCCGCTGCTCTTCCTCGCTGTTCTGCTGCTCCCTGATCCGCTCCGCTGTTCCGCTGCTGTCGCTGCCTTTCCCTGATCCCTCCCTGTGCCCCTCCGCCCCTCTTTTTTCGCCCTCCTTCCTGTCGTCTGCGTCCTGAAGATGAGAAAGGTTCAGACGAGCGCAAGCATGGATGAAGGGGACGTGGCTTGGCGACGGGTCCCGCTTCCATGGGAAATCGCGGATTCCCGCCGCCGAGCGAGGCGGCGTCGGCCGCATTTTGGGGCAGGGCACCTCCCCCGATCCATGGATTCGGCGACCGCGTGCCAAATCCATGGATCGCCAATCCATGCTCGCGCGCCCCCTCCCCGTGCCCCTCCGCCCCTCGTCCTCCTCCTCTCCCTCCTCGTTTTCGCCCGCGTCTTGAAGGTGAAGATGCTCGTCGCCGGTTGTCCCTGCCCCGGTCTGGGGTGGCGTCAAGTCCTGGTGGGTAGAGGGCGTCGTTTCGCATGCCATCTGTGTGTGCGCGCACCGTCGTAAGGGCAGGAGCAGTAGGCCTCGGGATGATCATTAAGTCGGGCGTGTCCCTCTACAGGAGGGAGGTTAACAAGTAGTCAAACAATAGTCTGGGGAGGATTTTTCGAGTATTTGTTGTGACTATTTTGGGAATATGTTCGACTACTTTTTATTTGTCGTCCAAAGTCCCCTGTAGGAGGACACGCTCGACCTAAGATATCATTCAACAGTTCTGTAAGCTTCTCGTCTGGATCTTTCGATCTTCGCCATCGTCCTCGTCGTCGTCCTCGTCGTCGTGGTCGCCCCAGTCCGCATCGTTTGTGATCAGGCGTTGTCTTGGTCGTCGTCGTGGCTCGTCGTCTTCGTCGTTGATGTCGTCTCATCGCTGCTCTCCTCGTTGACATCATCGTTGTGGTAGTCAGCCTTGCCATCGTTCGTTGTTCGTCGTCGCCGTCGCCGCTCTTCGGGGGGACGCAGGCAGCACCAGTTCTACTACCTCTTCGGGTTCCTCGCGCTGGTGCTGTGCATCCTGATGGCGCGCCCTTCCGCCTTCCTCTCGGGGTGGCGGTGCCATTGAATGTTCATGAGAGCTTTTTTATGAATATGGAGAGGAATGTGCATGTATATATGTGAATAGGGTTATGCATACGCATACACATATATATATATACAGATGTGTAATGATAGTGATACTCGTATACGTATACATGTATACATATATATGTATGTATGTGTGTGTATGTGTGTATGCAGGTGTGTATGCATGCATGCATGCATGCATGCATGCATGCATGCATGCATGCATGCATGCATGCATGTATGAAGTTATGTGAGTTTGTATTCATGTATGTATGAATGCATTCATGCACGTAGCTGTGTAGCTTGTGTGGATGTGTGTATGGATATGTGTGTGCATGTGTAGATATACATGTCTGGATGAATGGATAATGTGTGCATGTATGTATGTATGCATGTCTGTATGTATGTGTGGATATGTTATGTATACGTGTAACAGGTGTATGTGTGTATGTATGAGTGCATGCATGCACGTACGTGTGTATGCATTTAAGTGTGTGTGTGTGCGTGCCTGTGTGCATGTATGCATGTATGCATGGGCTCATGCAATTATGCGTGCATGTACGTGTAATGTTTGGTATGTGCTGATGCATGTCGTGATCTACATGTTTGTGTGCATGTAAGTGAGTATGGTTGTATGTAAATATGTCTGTGTGTATGTAGGTGTATGTATGTGTGCACGCGTGTATGTATGCAGGTGTACATGTATGTATAGGTATGCATAAGTTGTTATGTTTGCATGTACGCGTGTGTATGCATGTCTGTCTGTGTGTATGTCTGTATGTATGTATGTGTACACACATGGTTGTATGTTTGTGTGTATGTATGGCTACGCCACGTAATGACTGAATAAACGCGCGTATGCCTGTATGGATGCATGCATGCATGCATGGATGGGCGGATCGATCGATGGATGTAGGCAGGCAGGCAGGCAGGCAGGGAGGGAGGTAGGTAGGTAGGTAGGTTGGTATAGAGGGTTTTAGCCACATTCAAATTATCTTTCATTAGGCTCCGCTGTCATTTGTTCATGCATAGTCCATAGTCTAGTGACCTTCGGCCGCCTCGCCGTCTCCGCGCCTGGGTCGTGGGCCAGAGTTCGCTCGGGATGGCTCTTGGTGTGCCTCTTGGGAGCGTCTTGGAGGACCCTCTGGTCGCCTCGTGGCCGCTTCTCGGAGGCTCCCTGGGGGGCCTCTTGGAGACCGCTTGGGAGTCTCTTGGGGCCTCCTGGGGACATCTGGGGGGCCTCCAGCGGTCGTGGAAGCAGGTAACGACGACGACGGCTGGACGGCCGCGACGACCCACGACCGACGACGCCGACGCGGACGCCGACGCCGCCAACGACGACGACGACGACGACGCTGACGACGACGACGACGAGACGACCTACGATTGACGACCGACGACCGACATTGACTGACGACGACGCCATCAGCCAGACACTAGATTTTGGACGTTGAACGCCAGACGCTGGACGCCGATCACGACAACCGGCGACGACTATTGGCAGCGGCGGCAACGACGCTGCGGAGGTCACTTTCGCGGAAGGGAGAGGAGGGACGAGAAGGGGGAGGAAGGAGGATCGGGGGACGAGGGACGTGGGACGAGGAGGAGGAAGAGGAAGAGGAGAAAGACGAGGAGGAGGAGGAGGAGGAGAGGGAGGAAAGGGAGGAAAGGAAGGAGGAGGAGGAGGCGGAGGAGGAGGAGGAGGAAGGAGGAGGAGGAGGAGGAGGGAGAGGAGGAGGAGGAGGAGTAGGAGGAGGAGGAGGAGGAGGAGGAGGAGGAGGAGCAGGTGCAGGAGGAGGAGAAGGGATGCGGGAATTCAAGCCCCGGAAGCCGTGGACCATCCCTTTCCTCCCTCGGAGGTCACATGCGCCGAGATCTCCATAGCGCTGACGTACTTCCAGCTGACCTCAGAGGCGTCGCGCGCGGTGGGCGCCGCGCGCGCCGGGGCGCCCCATGGTAGGCTCCAGAGCAGAGCAGTTGCCGTCGCCATCGGCATTTCCTGGGGTGGGGTGTGGGGGAGGAGCGGGAGGGGGCGGGAGTGGAGGAGGCGGACGAAGGTGGCTGTGTAAGGGGGAGAAGGGAGGTGAGGAGGTAGAGGAGGAGAGGGGAGAGGAGGAGGACGGAGGTCGAGGCGGAGGCGGAGGCGGAGGCGGGGAGGAGGGGGGGGAGGAGTGGGACGATCAGGAGAAGGACGACGAAGGAGGAGGAGGAGGAGGAAGAGCGGAGTCCAGAGGGGGGGGGGGGGGGGGCGGGGGAGGAGGAGCGAGGAGAGGAGGAGGAGGAGGAGGAGGAGGAGGAGGAGGAGGAGGAGGAGGAGGAGGAGGAGGGAAGTTTCCGCGGGTCCGTGTGGATTTCCGATCCAGGTGGGCGGTCTTCCCAGAAGGGAGTTCGGAGGTGTTTAAGGTGGTTTCTTTCCAGGCTGCTCCCCCACTTCGCCCCCCTCCGTCCCAGAAGTGCATACTTAAGGAAGGAGGAGCAGAAATCCGCGCGGACCCCCGAGTTTGTATGTTGATGTCAGTTTTCGCTCCCCTAAGACTAAGAAAGGCCCACGGCCCACGCCCCCGACCTTTCGAGGAAAAGCGAAACCGCTCAGAAAAGGAGGGGAACCCTGGGATACACCCCACAAGGGGTCTATGCGGACGCACCCCTATCGAGGATGGACGCCCACCCCGTCGTATATCCCAGGGTAGGGCCCCAAGCCCCTGGTCCATTCAAAAACCCCACGACGCCCAACATCGGGGCCGACGTGTGCTCGTCTCCTTATTCACTGTTTTGCCGACCGGCGCGGGCCCTCGCACCGCTCTCCCCCCCTACCCCCCCTACCTCTGAAGTAGATCTTGGCTGTCCTTGGCGCCTGCTTCGAGCAGGTGGCGTCTCCCCCATGGGAGGAACTGCTGCAACCAGTCGCATCAAGCAGAGGTCCGGAGCCAGACCCCCCCTCCTCCCCCCCCCCTTCCGCCCAGTGTCGAAACGCCGAAGAAGAAAACGCTGTGCACATCCCCTGTTACCCCATCCTCGCCGGTTGCGGGCGCTCCGCACCCGCCGGCTCCTGCTCCTCCTCCTCCTCCTCCTCCTCCTCCTCCTCCTCCTCCTCCTCCTCCTCCTCCTCCTCCTCCTCCTCCTCTTGCGCCTCCTCCGCCTCTTCCTCCTTCCTCCTCCTCTCCCTCCTGCTCCCTCACTCCTCCCTCCTCCTCCTCCCTCCTCCTCCTCCCTCCCCCTCCTCTCCTCCATCCCTCATTCCTCCTCCTCCTCCTCCTCATCTCCTCCTCCTCCTCCTCCTCCTCCTCCTCCTCCTCCTCTTCCATCTCCTTCCCCTCTTCGTCGTCCTCCTCCTCGTCCTCCACCTCCTTCCCCCCTCCAACTTGTGGGTGTGGTGGTGGTGGTGGTGGTGGTGGAGAACAGGCTCATGATCCCTGTGAGGGCGTCCAGTCGAGCCGAGGACCAAAAAAGAACATTCTCCAAGGACGGGCCGTAAGGACGCTAGACCCTTCAGCCACGCGCGGAAGGGGGTATGGGGGAGGGGGGAAGGCTCCTTACTTAGACGCCTCCCTGCTTCTTGGAAGGCGGGGGCCTTGTCTGTAGATGAAGGGCCGGCGCCTTCTAGGACGCAGCCTTCAAAGAAGCCATCTTCCCTCCCCCTACCCCCTTGTGCGCAGTCCGAAGTTGGGATTTTTGGGGCGGCGGGCGACCTGTGAAGACGGCAAAGGACGGGCAGCAGAGGCAAGGCCATGCAAGGCCATAAGGGCACCCCAGATGAAGGCGCGCGTCCTTACTAGGCGCGTTGGCTGCACGGTCGGAGCTAGGACAGAAGAACATCATTCAAGAGCAGCAGACCCTGTGTCGGCCGAAACACAGAACATCCAAGGGTAGCCCCCAGGATGTTCAAGAGCATCCAACGAGCACGAAAAACATCAGGGTACCCTCGCGGAACCGACCTCCATCTTATACCTCAGTCCGACTGAACGTCGCCCCCCCCCCCCCCAGAGGTCCGACGTATGCTGTTTCCCTAGCGCGGAGCCCCCCCCCCAGATGTCTGGCGTCTCGAACAAAGATCGAGGCGGATGCTTTTGTACACTAGTTTTGGGCCTCACAGGGTCCCTTGCCAGGCATCGGGGCCGTCAAGAACGGATCGGGATTAAGACGCAGTCCTGGGGAAGCGGCCGAGACGTCGGAGGGTCATAAGTCTCGAACAAGATCGAGGAGGAGGAGGAGGAGGAGGAGGGGGAGGAGGGGGAGGAGGAGGAGGAGGAGGAGGAGGAGGAGGAGGAGGAGGAGGGTCATAAGTCTCGAATAAGATGCCTGGGGAGGTCTGGGCCCCTGACCCTGTCCGTCCCGAGAAGTTGTCGGCGCTCCTGGAGGCTGCAGAGGAGGCCAGGAGTTCTCCGTTGTGAGCTTTCGACGCGAGGGGGTGCGGGCTCGGGGCTCATCCCCAGAGCTGGCGTGGGTGCGTCTTGACACTAACTTTATGTCGGGCGTGTCCCCCCACACATGGGGTTTTCGACGAAACATAAACAATACATCAACAAGATTCCAAACATGTCAAACAATACTCAAAAAATAGTCCCTGGACTATGTTTGGATTAGTTTTTGACTATGTTTGGGGTATTTGGTATTTTTCGTCAAAAATCCCCCTGTAGGGGGACAGGCCCGACTTAACACTAACTCCAGGGGGAATCCAGCCGTGGCGATGGTCGCGAAGGGACCACAAGAGGACGAGGAACGTCCAAAGGCCTGGACTCGGCGTCGCCCCAACGTGCTAAGACTGTGTGTGCGTTGTGCCTCTCCAGGGGCGACGCGCGTGCCGAGAAACCTGAAATGATATGCTCCGTGGCGGGCGTTTCCTGGCCGTACTGGGCCGGGAAACGATGAATTGCCAGATGGTTGTGTTGCATGCTCTGGTCGGACGCGCACCTCCAGAAACATAGCATAGCATGTCCTCCGTTGTCCACGGGTTCGTCTCCGCCGCCACTGGCGCGCAGGTTGCCCGCTCCGGGTCGCGCGGGAGCGCCTCCGCTTCCACTGCAGCGTGCCGCGCCGGCGGCCCGCGGAAGCCTTCGCGTCAGGTCGCTGTGCCATCTCCCTGGCATCGCTCGGACGGGTGCATTTTTACTCGGCGAGGGCCCTCGAGGAGCATCCTTGATCATTTGGGGAAAAGAGCCACGCACGAAACCGAAAAAAGCACAGGGAATGGACGTCCGAGCGATGGCGAGTCTCGCGCAGGACTCCCTCCGTCCGGTCGCCCACCCGAGCGCCCTCCGCGCAGGACTACCGCTGGTGGTGGCGGGCCTTCCTGTCGAGCTCCTCGTCCGGCCTCTACGTCTTCCTGTGCCTCTCCCCGCCCCTCGGCGCGCGCGCGCCTCGGGAGGGGCCCCCGTCGGACGGGGCCCGGGGGCGCCCGAGGGGGAGGAGGAGGAGGAGGAGGAGGAGGAGGAGGAGGAGGAGGAGGAGGAGGAGGAGGAGGAGGAGGCGGAGGAGTAGGAGGAGTAGGAGGAGGAAGGACCCCCCCTATAGAGGCCCAGAGCCGCCGGATCTCGGAGATGCTCGGTTTGTCCTCGCCCGAACCTCTCTTCGTCCCGGCGTCGTCCTTGACTGGCCCCGCCGCCCTCCCCCATGGAGGGCTGGATGCACAACCACGGGATGACCCTACAAAGAAAACGGCGAGGCCCTTCTGAACCCAGAGCGGTCCTGCTTTTAACGCCTTGGCTATCTATATCGGCGGTGGAAAGACCTCCCTTTAGTGAACCTCCCCTTAGTGACAACGGCCTGGGGCCGAAACCGCCGGAACTGGACCCGCAAAAGTGACTGCCGCGGCTCCCCTGGCCACATCCCCTTCCCGCGGGCTGCCCCGGGGCGCCGCGTCGCCCACGGAGGGGGCCGAGAGGCTCCGCCGCCTCGGCCTCCGTCCCTCCTCGCCCCAGCCTCAGCCGCCTCCTCCTCGCCAGCTCGGTCATCTCGGCCTCCTGCCTCCTCGTTCAGCCTCAGCCTCCTCCTCTCAGGAGGGGAAGAAACACACAGACGGAATTCATCGTCGACTCCCAGGGAAATATGGGAAACTGTGGGAAAATGTGGGGGGGAAGGCAGAAGCCCAGAGACTATGGGAAAATTTGGGGAATCCTTTTCTTTGTGTGTATTTATTTGTGTGTCCCAGGGCCCCTTCCTCCTCCTCTTCGCCATCTCGGCCATCTCGGCCTTCTCGTTTGGCCTCCGCCGCCTCCTCCACCTCGGCCACCTCGGCCCTCTCCCTCCCTCCTCGTTCAGCCTCGGCCTCCGCTCTCGCCCTGGCATCGCTCGAGGAGCATCCTGGATCATCGAGCAGACAAGCGTCCTGGCTGGAAAGTGGGTGTGGCGATCCGATTTAGAAGAGGCGGCAACACATTAGGGCTGCGGGTCAGCGCGGCAATGCGTGAGGCAAACCGTGCTGGCAGAAGCAGAAGTGCCCGTGAGGGCGCAGAGTAGCGGAGCGAGCAGCCAGTGGCTAGGAGGGGAAGCACAGAAACACGCGCGAGACCGCAAGATGCACAGGGAATGGACGTCCGAGCGATGGCAAGCCGCGGCCCCAGGGGAGGACGACGAAGAGGAGGAGCAGGAGGAGGAGGAGGAGGAGGAGGAGGCCCCAGGCTGGACTGGGTATGTCCTCCTCCTCGTCCTTCCCCTCCTCCTCCTCCTCCTGCTCCTCCTCCTCCTCCTCGTCCGCCCCCTCTCCGCTTCCCTCGCGGCCCCACTCCTCTGCGAGCCGGGCGGCGGCGCCCGGGTCTCGGGCCCCGCGGGGGCCGTCGGACTCCTGGTGTCGCTCGGGCGTGTGCACGTTCTGTTTTCTCGGCGGGGGTTCTTATAACAGGGGGCCACATGCGAACCCTACCCCTGCCCCCCACGATTTCTGAGGGGAAGGGTGGGGTTCACTTCGCTCGGGAGCTCCCGAACGAAGTGAGCCCCACCCTCCCCAGGGGTAGGGTTCGCATGTGGCCCCCTATATAGTAATCCCCGCCGAGGGAGACGCAGGAGCTGCTCCTTTTTCGCGGGATCCCTCCTCCTCCTCCCACCCCTCCAGGGGATGTTTGCCAGACGCGCGCAGGGGGGACGTTGCCAGACGCGCGCAGGGCACCAGTCTTGGTGTGCTGACGTCGACCCCCGTCCCTCGGCGTCGCTCGGACGTGTGCATGTTTCCTTCGGCGAGGACAATGGGGGAGCATCCTGGACCATCTGGCGAAAAAAACACGCACGAAACCGAACATGAACACAGGGAATGGACGTCCGAGCGATGGCGAGGTCCTGTCCTGTCCTCCTCATCCTCATCCTCATCCTCTCTATCCTCCTCTCTGTTGCGACCTGCGGGAAATCGGCGGCGGGCGGGGGGGGGGAGCGAGAAGGAGAAGGCCTCCTCAGAAGGCTCGGAAGTCCCCCGGCCTTCCCAGAGGTTCTCTGAGCCTTCCCCGAAGACAAACAGAGCTTCTCAGCAGGCGCGAGGGCTTCTGAGAAGCCCCGCCGCCCTCTGAGATAACTCCTTGGCGCTCCTCGCGGGCCTCTGGGGGTCCGCGGTGGGGCCCCCCTTGGCGCGCTGCGCGCAGCGGGCAGGGGGGGGGGGCCAGCGCAGGCGTTTGAGTCGGGCCGGTCCCTTTACCGTTGTGGAAGTCGATAAGTGGAAGCATGCTGCCAAATAGTTCCCAGATGTCTAAAACAATGTGTCACACGTGTTTTTGAATGTAAAAACATGTTTGACACACTTCTAGAACATGGGTTACACATTTTAAACACATCTTTAATTCAATGGTAGGATCGCTGGAGTGTCCATTGTCCTTGCATCCACAACTCTACAGGAGGAATGTTCAACAATAGTCCAAACATAGTCGGGGGACGATGTTTGGGTATTTTTGCACATTTTTGGAGCGTTTCTGAACTATCTCTAATTTCGCGTCCAATCCCCCTGTAGGGGGACAGGCCCGACCTCAGCGCAGATCCAAGAAATCCGCGCGGAGCGTCAAGACAACTATGTTTCTGCCGCTGTTTCCGTTCCTATCGGCGAGGCCTTCTGTTGGCCTGCCGATGTCCGCCGATTCGACTTCTCCCGGCTCGGTTGCCGATTCCCGCCGATCCGACTCTCTGGACGCCCGAAATGGGTACGGAAAGAATGGGTACAATGCCCAACAACATTTCCTGTTCATTTTGAACAGGACTCGCTGTCCGCGCCGCCGCGGCCTGTGTCCATTCGAGATAGAAGGCCGCCTGCCCAACAGCGGCCGCTGATGGTGCGGGACAACATTTGTTGTTCGGCATTGTGCCCATTGTTTCAGTACCCATTTCGGGCGTCCAAAGACTCGTGCCGATCGCCGATCCGACAGACAAAAACACAGAAAATATGGGAAAATATGGGGATTTATTTTATTTGTGTGTATTTATTTGTGTGTCCTGGGGCCCCTTCATAGGACCTGGCCTGCCCGCGGCCCCCGGAAGCCGCGCACCAGAGGTCACGCTTGCCAAGGGTCACTCTTGCGTGTAGCCGGTCGGATCTGAAAACTGGCAGGATGGGTCCTCGGGATTGGAGATCGATCTTGAGCGGATGGCGACGACGACGACGATGCCGTGGCGTTGGTATCAAACCAACGCCCTCGCTGGGCGGACATCTAATCTCGAAGACCTACCCGTCGGTGTTTGAAAGTAGGTATTTTTGAATCCGCACATTCCAAAAACAAGTGAGCGCCTTCCTACTTCAATGATCGAGTGGCTTTACTTTACCGTTCTCCCAAGGGGGCGGCGGATGGACCCCAATCTACTTTCAACGCATTCCTACTTCATGTGTCTACCTACTTTTTCCGACCGATGGATATCCTTGAGTACCACTGGAAGGAGCCGAGGGAGCAGAAGGCTAGAGTCGTCTGGAACGTCGTGCTCGACCATCTGGATGTCGGAGAAGAAGCAACTGCACAAAGAGGCACGCTGTTTGTGTGCGCTGCTCGCGAACTTCCTGGATCTGCGCCGGACAAGCCCTGGAAGGGAGGGGTGTCCAGCGCCGACCCGAGACAGCTGCGCGGACCGTCGAGAGTTTTGTGTAATGTATGCCATGCTGTCATCATTCAGGAGGAAAAGAAACACACAGACACAATTAATCGTCGATTCCCAGGAAAATATGCGAAAATATGGGAAGTGGGGGGGAAGACAAAAACCCAGAAAATATGGGAAAATATGGGGCACATTTTCATTTGTGTGTATTTATTTGTGTGTCCTGGGGCCCCTTCAATCATCACGGGAGGTGGAGCCGACTTCTTTGCCCCTGCGGCCGAAGGCGGGCTTGGTGACCGCGACCGCGAAGCTCTCGCCGCGCCCGCGGCAGTCCGCCGCTGGCCGTCCGGCGATGCCGACGTGGTCGGCGATGCCGCAGAGAGCTCGACCTGGGCAGCGCCGGCCCAGGGGCGAGCAACCCGTCGGCACCCGCGGGTCGTCTTGTCGAAGGCCCCGCGCGGAGCGTGTCCGTGCGACCGCGCATTCGCGGGACCTCGCCCCGAAATCCAGACCGCGAGGGCGCGGACATGGATACGTGCGTGGTTCGTGGTCTCCTCGGGGACCGTCACCTGCGTGGTCCGTGCCGCCCGGCTGGGTGGGGGTGGGGGGCGGGCAGGGCGGTACGACGCGTGGCGCGGAGATGGGTCTCTATCGACGGGGAGGGCGGTAACTTTTCGAAGCCGCGTGATCGGCTGTGGGGTGAATCAACAGGATGCTGCTGATGATGATGATGATGATGATGATGATGATGATGATGATGATGATGATGCTGATCATCATGATGATGCTTATGGTGATGATGATGCTGCTGCTGATGATGATGATGATGATCCTGATGATCCTGATGATGACGATGATGGTAATATTGATAACAATGATGCTGATCATGCTGATCACGATGATGATGATGTTGATGATGATGACGATTATGATGATGATGAGGATGATGACGATGATGATGGTGATGATGGTGATGATGACGATGGTGATGATGATGGTAACGATGATGATGATGCTGCTGATGATGGTGATGATTCGTATGATGATGATGACGATGATGACGATGACGATGACGATCATGACGATGGCTGCTGATGACGATGCTGATGATGCTGAGGATGATGATGATGACGGTAAGTTCGATCATGATGATGTTGATGTTGATGATGTTGATGATGATGTTGTTGATGATGTTGTTGATGATCATGCACATGATCATGCTGATACTTCTGCTAATGCTGCTGCTCATGATGCTGATATTGATAATCATGCTGATACTCATGATGATGATCATGCTGTTGACGACGGTGATGGTGATGATGATGGTTATGGTGGTGATAATGCTTATGCGGTTGCTGATGACGCTGCTGGTGTTGCTGATGATGATTAAGCTGATGGTGGTGAGGTTGCTGCTGATGCTGATGATGATGACGATCAGGAGGACGATAACTCGGATGATGATGATGATGATGATGATGATGATGATGATGATGATGATGATGATGATGATGATGATGGCGTTGCGGATCATGATGGCGATCTTGGTGATTGTGGTGGTCGTGATGATAGCGACGATGAGGTGGATGAGGATGAGAATGATGGTGGGGATGGTGATGAAGATAGGGAGGAGGATGAGGATGATAATGAGGATGAGGGTGATGGTGATGGTGATGGCGATGGTAAGGGTGGTGATGATGGTGCTGCTGATGGTGATGATGATGGTTATGGTGGTGCTGACGATGATGCTTGTGATGTTGATGATGAGGATGTGGATGCGGATGTTGCAGATGATGGTGATGCTTATGATGATGCTAACCATGCTGATGATCATGCTGTGGATGATGATGACGATGCTGATGACGATGAGGCTTCTGATGATTGTGATGTGGATAATGCTGATGGTGTTGCTGCCGCTCATGATGATGATAATGATACTGATGATGATAATGCTGACGATGATGATGATGGTGATGATGGTGATGATGATGATGATGATGATGATGATGATGATGATGATGATGATGATGATGATGATGATGATGATGATGAGGTTGACGACTCGGAGGAGGAGGAAGAGGAGGAGGCGGATTGTCTGTGCGACTTACAGTATGTAGGATGACGAGGCGGATGACGAGGAGAAGGGGAGGAATAGTCGGAGCAGGACGGTGTTATGGAGCATGGTATGGCACATTGCACAACCTCTCGATCTTTGGTGAAGGTACTCCATCTTATACTTCACCCAGCGGTTGCAGATCGAGAAATTCGTGTCGAGCATGCTCTACTTCGGGTGCGCACGCAGACCCTCCGTTTGAAGCTCATGGGGTATGCAGAGCTGCAGTCAGGATGGGGACGGCAGCCAGGCGCAGGATCGTGCGACTGGAATTGGAGAGAGACAGAGAGCGAGAGAGGACACAACGACAAGCCATATATATATAGGCATACACATCGAGGCAATGGGGAGAGAGAAGAGAGAGTCTCAGAGATATGGCTTTTGAGAGACGAGGTTGGGATTGCTCGAAGGCGTCTACGGCGGGTCACCGCCGCCTCCCGCGGCCGAGAAGCGGAGAGGCTGTTGCTTGGGACGCGCGCCGCGCGCGTCTTCCGGGTGCTGCGTGCCCCCTCGGGGGCTGCTGCGCTTCCTCCCGTCTCCGCCCCCGTCCCCTCCTGGTGCCTCCCCCCTCTCCGCCTCCGCCTCCTCCCCTTCCTCCTCCTCCTCCTCCTCCTCCTCCTCCTCCTCCTCCTCCTCCTCCTCCTCCTCCTCCTCCTCCTCCTCCTCCTCCCTCCTCCCTCCTCCTCCTCCTCCTCCTCCTCCTCCTCCTTCCTCCTCCTCCTCCTCCTCCTCCTCCTCCTCCTCCTCCTCCTCCTCCTCCTCCTCCTCCCCCTCCTCAGGGGGCAGCGACCGCGGCAGAGCAGGGGCCCTCTGGGGTCCCTAAGGAGCCTCTGCAGGGGCCCCCAAGGGGGGGCCTTGAGGCCCCGAGAAGTGCGCCCGTCTTCCCCCGCCCACTCGTCGCCCAGCTTGGCATCGCTCGGACGTGTGCACTTTTTCTCGGCGGGGACTATTAAGGAGCATCCTGGATCATCCTGCTGGAAAAAAAAGCACAACACCGAACAGCACACAGGGAATGGACGTCCGAGCGATGGCCAGCCCCGCACCTGCTCCCCGAACCTGATGCAGCTTCCTGCGTCTGACAAGACGAGAGGTTCGCTGGAGCTCCGTCCTGTTCCGCTCCCTGCTGCTTACACGTCCCGTGGCGGGGTCAGAAGGATCGGGGCCCCAACCATCGCAAAGGGAGGAGGAGGAGGAGGAGATGGAGGAGGAGGAGGAGGAGGAGGAGGAGGAGGAGGAGGAGGAGGAGGAGGAGGAGGAGGAGGAGGAGGAGATGGAGGAGGAGGAGATGGAGGAGGACGAGGAGGAGGGGGAGGAGAGGAGGAGGAGGAGGAGGAGGATGGAGGAGGAGGAGGAGGAGGAGGAGGAGGAGGAGGAGGACAGGAGGACGGCCCCCCTCCCTGCTCGCCCTCCCTTCCCCCATTCCTCCCTCTTCGCCCCCTCCTCCAGGTCAGGGGCTGCGTTCGCAGGCCGGAGAGGTTTTAAGCGGTCAGGAAGAGAACCCCCGAGACGGCCTGAGGATTGGAGCCCTCTTTGATCGTGCACCCGCATCGTTCTGTTCTAACTAGATCGGAGTGATCGATGTAATGTTAACGGCTACCCCGCCAAACCGATACGTCGAGGAGAGGATCGACTACAGAACTAATTTACCCCAAACTTGATGTGTCGTCGAATATACGAAACATGAGTAGAATGCTCGAGATGATCTGCGAGAATTCTGCGCATTTGTCGCAGACTCGACGCGCAAACCAAGTTGGGGGGAAACGAATTCCATTGCCGATCCCCTTCTCGAAGACTGAACATCCATCCTGCTCCTGGTGAACTAAGAGGTACCAGTACGGCTACTCCCCCGGACCTCTCCTGGGGCACGTTCTGACCAGGATTTCAAGGCGAATCCAGCGCTGGCGACGGTGGCAGGAGGCCCAGAGAGGGGAAAACGAGGCCAGGGTAGGGATATGGGTACGTTTTCCCCCTCTGAGCTCCCTGCCACAAGGCGGGGCGCCAGGGGGTTGCTGCAGGCATGGCGCTTGGGGCTCGGTCCCCCCCTCCCCCCCTCCCCTCCCCTCCACAATTACTCAATAAGAATACTACTCTCCCTCTTCCCCTGACGACGGCCTGAAAGTGTCCGACCCCCCCCCCCCGCGTATTGTTTTTTTACACAGGTTTCCCCGGAGTTGGGTTTTCGCGTGCATTTTTCCCAAGATGCTGCTCTCGCTGAGGCGCTGGCCTCATTTTCGTGCCCAGCTCGTTCCGAATCGTGCTCCCGCTGCAGCGCTGGCCTCATTTCCGTGCTTCCGCTCGTTCCCAATCGTGCTCCCGCTGCAGCGCTGGCCTCATTTCCGCGCTTCCGCTCGTTTCGACTCGTGCTCCCGCTGCAGCGCTGGCGTCATTTCCCGTGCCATGCCACGGCATGCAATGCAATGCTAGGTTGATACTACGATTTTCGGTGCTCTTCTACGCCATGCCCTGCCGTGCTCTACAATGCATCGCGTACCCTTTCGGGATCATTGCCCTGCTCGACATCCGACTGTGCGAGTAGAGAGGGGATCTGCGCCATGGTCAGGGATGGGAGGGAGGGGTAGGATGTCAGATATGACACGAGCGCACCTAGCTTGCCTCCTCCCCCTCCCCTCCCCTCCCCCCCCTCCCTAGTCCGGGGGGGGGTTGTCCGGATCCTTGTGGGATTGTCCAAGGGGTTGTCCGGCCGCGTTGTTTTGCTTGCACGAGCACATCTCGTTGTCATACATACCATCAGAAGCGTGGCGCAACCAGGGAAGCTCAGCTGGAAATGTCGCCGCCGCTGTTTCCCTCTTCCCGTCCTGTTGAAAGGGAAAAGCCGGCATAAACATGAAGTGTGGGCGATCCGCGTGGATTTCTCGGATCCGCGCTGGGCCCCCCTGACGCTCCGGCGCTGCCCCTGGCGCCTGGCGCGCTCCGCGCGCTAGGGAGGAGGGTGCAGCTCAGATCCAAAAAGTCCGCGCGGAGTGCCAAACGTTTCGATGTATGCAGTGTTTTCTTCCTCTACTCTTGCATCCATGCAGCCTTGTTTCTCCGGTCATCTTCGGTCCATCCTCAGCCGCTTTCGATGGCCAGCCTCGCTCGAAAAGCTTCGGCATGGGCGTCCAAGGGGCTTGCATCCTTATCGCGCATCCTCAGTATCGGTTTTGAACGTACCCAGCCCAGCGGGGGCCCATCACGGTCTGCCCGAGGTGTGACACGTTTTCTCTATGGGGGGGCCGCGATGTGGGCCTCGCAGGAAGCCCCAGGGCCCGCCGCGAAGGAGTCCTCGTGAAGGTGGCAAGAGGCCGCCGCGAAACAAGGACTCGAGGGCGACCATCCCGACACAGGTAAGAGCCTTATGTCTAGGTAGAGCAGCGCCTTCCCCAGGGCGACGAGATCTATACCTGTCCACCGCCACTGGCCAGGCGCCCTTTCCCTTTTCCCCTCCCCATCTCCTCCCCTCCGCCCCCAGAGGAAGAGGAGGAGGATAAGGAGGAAGACGAAAAGGAGGAGTAGTGGGAGGGAGGAGGAGGAGGAGGAGAAGGAGGAGGAGGAGGAGGAGGAGGAGGAAGACGAGAAGGAGGAAGACGAGAAGGAGGGAGACGAGAAGGAGGAAGAGGGGGAGGAGGAGGAGGAGGAGGAGGAGGAGGAGGGGAGGAGGAGGAGGAGGAGAGAGGAGGAGGAGGAGGGGGAGGGAGAGGACATGAGGAGAAGGAGGAGGAGGAGGAGGAGGAGGAGGTGTTTCCCTGCTGCCCCTCCCCTCGGCCTTCCCTCGTCTCCCACACTTCGGACGACTCGATCTGTGCGAGTCCCGGTGCTGTCGAGCTCTCGATCCCCCTTCCTTCGGGGGCGGCTAAGAGGGGGGTGATGAATAGGGGGGAGTATCATGGCGGGGGCCATGATATCTCCCCAGATTTCATGGCCCCTCCTCTTGTTTCAAAACGTTCCCTGGCCCCCCCCTCTTCCACGCTCATGCCGCCGGCCATGATTTGGGCCCCCTTCTCTTGGACGCCCCCCCTCTTGGACGCCCCCGACCTTCCCTGCAACCCCGTTTTTCCACATTGGGCCGTTTTGGGTTGTCCCGAAGCCCGACAGAGACTCCCAGGGAGCCAAAGGTGCGTGAAACCTTCTGACTCGATACTTTTTCGAGTCTCTGGTGGTCTGGGTTTTCTGTCTGTACTGGAATATTTCACACTGTCTCACGACCGCAGTGAACAAAGATAATCAAGTAGATCAGCATCACCTCATGATATGAGTACCATGCCAGTTTTTCTCTCCGCAATAAACTGTCATATCATCGCTTCTTGCTGTTTTTGTTGCCGTCTCCGGAAGCAGGTACATGCTGATTATCTCGACCATCTTCTTCCTGCTCACCGGATCTATCGGCTGCCTCGCATCTTTCGCCTTCGTGAGCATGGGGCTGTGTGGGCGGCTGGCGGCGTGTGCGCGGGAACACGACGACGACCTCGACGGCGACTACTGTCGACGACGATGTCGACTACGTCGACGGCGACGACGATATTGACGACGATACCAACCTTGACGACGAGATCAACGACCGCAATATCGACAACGATGACACGACAGCCACGACGACGACGACGACAGCAACGACGACGACGACGACGACGACGACGACGACGACGACGACGACCCCTGGGCCTGTTCTGGCGTGCGTTCTGGCCAGAACCTCGAGGGGGACTCACCCGTGGTGGCGCGGGCCCCCAGGAAGCCCCGAAATGCCCGCGAGCCTCGAACCTCGATCCTCGCAGGAGCAGGAGAAACAGGGGCGAGAGGAAGACGAGGAGGAGGAGAAGGATGAGGGATGAGTGTGAGGGAGGGGAGAAGCCGAAGCAGGGAGGGAGGGAGGAGGAGCCATTCCGAGTCCTCGGACGAAGCCCTCCCAGCGTACTGCCAGGGCCCCCGGTGGCTCACGATGGCGGTGCTGCCCTGTGCCCCCCACGGACGGGCAGAGGGTGAGGCCCAGGTCTCCAGGCAGCCTCCCGTACCTCCGCTCGGGGCGGAGGCCACCTCCTGCAGTCGGCCCGGACTAGCAGGTCGACCCTGCCGGCTCAAGGGTATACCCCTGTGTCCTGTGCCTCGCGTGACACGTGCCTTCGTACCCTCTTAGAGTCGGGGCCGTGAAGAAGGAACGCTTTTCGTTGGGGAGGGGCTCCTGGTTCCTTAAGCGTTTCACAGCTTGCCTCAGGATTTCCTTGATAGAAATCGAAGTGTAACCTTTGGAAAAAAGGGGCCTCGTTCCTCATTCAGGGTTCCTTAGGTCAACGCCCCGACTGTATGGCGATGTGGCCCTGGGAAGGGCCTTGTGCCCTCTCGCGTGTCCTGCCCAACGAAGTCCGACTGCACGGGCCTTCCGCACGGGGCCCGCGCACGCCAGCGCCCCGCCTCCAAGAAGGGCCTCGTGCCCTCTCGCGTGCCCTGTCCAAGGAAGTCCGACGGCGCGGGCCCTCCGCACGGGGCCCACGCGCGCGGGCGCCCCGCTCCCCCCCCCAGCTGCAGCGCACCGCTTGGGTGCGCCCCCGCGGCGCGACCCGGGGCCCGAGCGGCTCCCTCCCAGGCACTCGCCGCGCGTCGTGCCCGTGTCGGGCCGGGCGAGAGGGGGGGCGTGGGAAAGGACGAGGAGGAGGAGGAGGACGAGGAGGAGGAGGAGGAGGAGGAGGAGGAGAAGGACGAGGAGGAGGAGGAGGAGGAGGTGCGGGATGAGTGCCGGTCTCCGTGAGAGGGCAGGGGGTTTCGGGCCGGGCGAACGGGGGGGCGTGGGAAAGGGGGGGGGGTACGAAATTTGCTGCATGCAGCTCTTTTCGGCCTCACCGAGGGGCCCATTTAAAACGACGCGAAGATCGGGACAAAATCGGATCGGGATAACTCGAAATCTCTGAGGATCCGCGGTATTGGAGGATGTATTGGGCGCCGCGGCCGCTCCAGAGCGTTCCTGAACGCTCTGAGAGCGCTCCGGAACGCTCTGGAGCGATTTATCCCGATCCTAGCCCTGTTTTACCATTCCTCGATACATAGCCGCCTCCAGCGCCGCGAGGCGCCGGGGAAATCAGCTACGTGAGCCGATTCTCAGACCCCCCCTTTGCTATCCCCCCCTTTCGCCCGACCCGACTGTGGTGCGGCCGTGGGTGCGCTTCCGCGCCTGCCCTGCGTCGTCGGCGTCGTGGGGCGTTCCAGGCGTGGCCCTGCCTCCGAGGATCGGAGGAGTCGTCGTCCCTTCCTCGTCAACGTAGTGGGGCGTTCCAACAATGGCCTTGCCTTCGAGGATCCAAGGAGTTGCCGTCCCTTCCTCGTCGACGTCGTGGGGCGTTCCAAAAGTGGCCTTGCCTTCGAGGATCGGAGGAGTTGTCATCCCTTCCTCGTCGACGTCGTGGGGCGTTCCAGAAATGGCCTTGCCCTCGAGGATCGGAGGAGTTGCCGTCCCTTCCTCGTCGACGTCGTGGGGCGTTCCAGAAATGGCCTTGCCTTCGAGGATCCAAAGAGTTGCCGTCCCTTCCTCGTCGACGTCGTGGGGCGTTCCAAAAATGGCCTTGCCTCCGAGTATCCAAGGAGCTGCCGCCCCTTCCTCAGCGGAAGGGCGAGGTCCCCCTTCGCCGGCGGAAGCTCGGCGGAGGGCGGCGGGAGTAAAGGATTCGCCCCCAAGAGACGGAAAAACTCAGGAGGAGAAAAAACACACAGACACAATTAATCCTCGATCCCCCAGAAAATATGGGAAAATATGGGAAGTGGGGGGGAAGACAGAAACCCAGAACATATGGGAAAATATGGGGAATATTTTTATTTGTGTGTATTTATTTGTGTGTCCTGGGGCCCCTTCAAAAACGTTTCTGGTCTTCTCCATCTTGATTTCTCCTCTTCACTGCTAGTGCGATCTTGGTGCCATCCTTGGCCGACATTGGCGCGTAAGGTGCCCGCGTGAGGTCGCGCTTGAGCGCCCTCGTTTCCAATGTGTGGCGTGCCGCGGTGGCTGCACGCATAAGCCACCACGTGAGGTCGCCAGGTCGTCTTGCGCAAGACCCAATGTGTTCGTCGCCCATGTGGCCGGCAACACCGGGCCTCGGAATGTGGGGGAGTGAGGAAGAGGGACCACTGCAGCAGGAACCACAAAGATGTCGACCGCGACGCTCGCAACCGCCGACCCCGCGCTGCTCTTCCCTCCCTCTGCCTGGCCACCCCTGCACGCTGATCTCAGGAGAGAATGAAGCACTCAGACGCACTGAATCGTCGACCCCCAGGAAAATATAGGAAAATATGGGCAGTGGAGGGGAAGACACAGGTGCAGAAAATGTTGGGGGCCCTGAGATTTGTGTGTGTGTGTTTATTGTGTCCATGGGCCCCTCATGAAACCTCCTCCACCTCGCAGGGGTTGTCTCGGCCAGTCACAGGCCCTGACAGTGCTCCAGTCTGCTCCTCTTCGGTCAGGCTGGTCGTCCATCATGCGTCCTCCAGCCTCCTGCCTTGCCTCCTCCTCCTCCTCCTCCTCCTCCTCCTCCTGTCTCTGGTCTCCTGTCTTCTGCTCCTTCTTTTCGTCCAACTCCTTCCCCCCTCCCACCTCTTCCATCCCTGCTCCATTCTCCCCCTTCCCGCTCCCTCCTCTCCGTCCTCCATCATCCCCCGTGCTTCCTCCTCCTCCGTCCTTGCTCCGCCTCCTCCTCCTCCTTTTTCCTCCCTCCGCTTCCTCCCTCATCGCGTTCCCCACTCCCCGCGTTCTAGCCTCCCGCCTCCGCACATCCCATCTCCCCCGATCCCCCCCTCTCTCTTTCCACCGCCCTCCTCCTCGCCTCTCCTCGCCTCTCCTCCTCCTCCTCCTCCCTCGTCCTCGTCCTCGTCCTCCTCCTCCTCCTCCTCCCTCCTCCTTTCTCCTCCTCCTCCTCCTCCTCCTCCTCCTCCTCCTTGGCGGGCTGTTTTCCACGCGCCAGGATCCGCTTTCCTGCTGCGAATGTCAGCACAGGGCCAGAACAAGCGTCCGTGTGTAGAGTTCGGTCGCCTATAATTGGCAGCGGGGGGGGGGGGGCGAAACATGAAGCCTCCTCCTCCTCCTCCTCCTCCTCCTCCTCCTCCTCCCTCCCTCCTCCCTCCTCCCTCCTCCCTCCTCCCTCCTCCCTCCTCCCTCCTCCTCCTCCTCCTCCTCCTCCTCCTCCTCCTCCTCCTCCCTCCTCCTCCTCCTCAGGGGGCAGCGACCGCGGCAGAGCAGGGGCCCCCTAGGGTCCCTAAGGAGCCTCTGCAGGGGCCCCCAAGGGGGGGCCTCGAGGCCCCGAGGAAGGCGCCCGTGTTCCCCCGCCCACTCCTCGCCCAGCTTGGCATCGCTCGGACGTGTGCATTTTTTCTCGGCGAGGACCACCGAGGACCATCCTGGACCACTGGACCATCGAGCAAAAAACACGCACGAAACCGACAAATGCACAGGAAATGGGCGTCCGAGCGACGGCGAGCCAGAGGTCTCGCTCCCAAGGTTTGAAAGTGCAGCAGAGAAGTGCACACGCGACGCGGACATGCAACATTCGGTATTGTGCCTCAGTGCTTCACCGTGGTGGGCACACGGTTGACTCTGTCACATGGTCATACTCATGTTCATATTCCCCATCCAGCGACGCCCGAACCCCCCAACGCATTAAACAAACATCAATACGGAGTGCTTCCGTTGTCTTCGGCTTCTGAGGGCCCTCGCTGGATTCCGGGACCGTCAAAACATCCAACTCAGGATGAACAGCAGGCCCCATGGGGAAGGGGCCGGAAGTTTCCGCTCACCGCGTCTCAGAACAATCGGGACGTCGGACGTTTGGGCCCCTTGAGATCTGACAGCATCTCAAGAGGAACGTGCTGAAAAATCGAGGCCAGAGCCCTCGACCCCGTCCTTCGGCCTTCGCGGTCCCGGGGAAACAACGAAAAATGTGTACACCAGGGTCCCGTGTACACCAGGATCCGCTCTCTTGCGCAGTGCAAATTTCAATGCAGGGCCAGAAAAAGCGTCGGTGTATAGAATTCGATTATTTGTCTTGTCAGTTTCCAGCCTGGAACATTGGCCTTATGCCTCTGACGCAGTGCCGCCTCACCTCGATACCGCTCCGAAGGGCCCCCCGTTTCCGAGGGCGCATCCCTCAGACTGTCGTCGCCTCTTGGCTGGTCAGTATCATGGGCGGGGGTGGGGGTCCGAGGCTGGTCAGTCGGAGGACGGCGCGGGGGAGAGGGGGAAGGGAGTGGAGGAGGAAGAGGAAGAGGGGGAGAAGGAGGACGAGGCTTTTAACTTTTCTACCAGACAGGAGCACACGAGTGCGAGCTCGGGCCCTTGAGCCAGCGTAGATCATGGAGCGTGGAAGGTCATGCCGCGCTGGCCGCATTTCGGGAGATCACCTTGCGCCAGCCGCTCAAGGTTGCTCAGGTTGCCCCCAGCTCAGGGAGGCAGGGTCGGGTCAGCTTCTGTGCGATGTTGACCGCCAAGCTTCCACAGCCCCAACAAACCAGCACACCTTTGAGCTCATCCAACGCATGCATCGGATGCGCACGAGCATCACCTGGATGTCCGCTCGGGTTCCCCAGGCTCACGCCGCGAGACGACAAGGGGCCCAACGGGCATTTCCATTCACAAACAAGCCAATGCGTGGTGCTCTTCGGTGAAGGAGTACGAGGGTGAGGATGAGGAGGATGAGGGGGATGACGAGGAGGAGGAGGGGTGGAGGAGGAGGAGGAGGAGGAGGAGAAGGAGGAGGAGGAGGAGGAGGATGTGGAAGAAGAGGAGGAGAAGGAAGAGGAGGAGGATGGAGAGGAGGTGGAGAAGGACGAAGAGGAGCAACAGGAAGAGGAGGAGGAGGAGGAGGAGGAGAGGAGGAGGAAGAAGAGCAGGAGAAGGAGAGGAGGAGGAGGAGGAGCAAGGGGGAGGAGGAGGACGAGGAGGAAGGAGGAGGAGGAGATGGAGGGGAGGAGGAAATCGAGGAGGAGGGAGTGGAGGAGGGAGGAGGAGAAGGAGGGAGGAGGAGGAAAAGGAGGATGAGGGGGGAACGAGGAGGAGAGAGGAGGAGAGGAGAGGAGGAAGAGGAGGAGGAGGAGGAGAGGAGAGAAAAGAAGAAGGGGATGTTGGAAGAGGAGGAGGAGGAGGAGAGGAGGAGGGAGAGGAGGAGAGGAGGAGGGGGAGGGAGGGAAAAGAAGAGGAGAGGGAAGGAGGAGGAGGAGGAGGAGGAGGTGGTGGAGGAGGGAAAAGACGAGGAGGAACAGGGAAGGGGCGCAGGTGAGAGCCATATACGGGTCAATCAAGATCGACTGAAAGGGCGCCGCGCCGCCGCGCGCCGCGCGCACTGGGGCCCGGCCGTGTGCAGGGCCCGGCCGCCGGGAGATGGACGGCCCCTCCTCCCTGCGCCACCACTCTCGCGTCGCCCACTCGGCCCGTTTCCTCCTCCTCCTCCTCCTCCTCCTCCTCCTTTTCCTCCTCTGCTTTTCGCCCTCCTTCTCCCTCCTCCTCCCCCATCCTCCTCCTCCTCCTCCTCCTCCTCGCCTCCTAATCCTTCTCCTCCTCCCTCCTCCTCCTCCTCCCTCCTCGTCCTCCTCCTTGTTCCCTCCTCCTCCCTCCTCCTCCTGTTCCTGCTCCTCCTCCTCCTCCTCCTCCTCCTCCTCCTCCTCCTCCTCCTCCTCCTCCCTCTCCTCCTTTTCCTCCTCATCATCCTTTCCTTATCCTACTTGTTTCCTCTTGTTATTTTTTTGTGTTTGGTGGACATGACATGTTGTTGCGTCCTTCGTCCTTCTCCTCCCCCCCTACTCCTTCTCTTCCTCCTCCTCCTCCTCCTCCTCCTCCTCGTACTTATCCTTCCCTCCTCCTCCCCCGTTTCTTTCTCCATCCTTTTTTTCTTTCAGTCATATCCTGCCGCACCCTGGGGCGCGTCGGTAGGACAGGCCAGGCGTTCGCAGCACCTTCACGAATTGAGGGCGGGTCGTTTTCAAGATGTGGTTCTCGCGCCCCAGCGCCGCGCACAGCCGGTTTTCGTGTATTAACAAATGTTGCACTTCACGGATGGAGGGCGTGCGTTTTTCAAAATGTGGTTCTCGCCCCCACACCGCGCACAGTCCCCCTACAATGTCGCATAGATTCTACAGAGGGTGGGGCTGTACTTGTCCTAAATGTGGTTCTTGATTTAACGCTGCGCACATTCGCTTAAACAATTTGCACGAGCTTAGCAGATGGAGGGCTCGCATTTTTTTGTTCAACATGTGGTTCTCGTCTTCGCGCTGCGCGCACTCGTTCTCATAGGTTGCAGGGATTTCGCGCATGGAGGCGCGTACCTTTTCAAAGTGTGGTTCTTGATGTAGAGCCGCGCATATTCGTTGCAATAGCTAACAGCAGTTTCAAGGATTATTGTGTTTGCCGTTCTAGAGACGGTGCTTTGGCACGATTCAGGATCATCAGGATGCAAAAATAACGTTGATCCGCGGTATTGCAGTCCCAGAAATAGCGTTGTGGCACGGTTGGGGATATTCAGACGGGTGTCTTCCAACGGGCGCTTCCTTCAGTGAAAACGAATACTTGTAGGGTCTTCTTATGGGGGATTTTGGACAGACTGAGGATCGGGATTGCACTGCTCCCGCCTCCTCCTCCTCCTCCTGCCCCTCTTCCTCCTCCTCCTCCTCCTCCTCGTCCTCCTCCCCTTCCTCGTCCTCCTCCTCGTCCTCCTCCTCCGCCTCGTCCTCCTCGTCCTCCTCCTCGTCCTCCGCCTCCCGCCCTCGCCCCCTCGCCCTCCCGGGCACCTGCCTCAGCCAGCAGCAGCAGAGCAGGCGTGACCCATGCCCAGCCGGCGCAGCGGCTGCACACACCGCGCGCGCGGGCCATCCCCGCACATACGCGGCACGGCCACGCGCGCCTCTGGGCTCTGCGGCGAGCCGGGGGCGCCGCAGGCATAGGTCGGGGGCGAGGCTATACGGCCGCGCCTGGGGCGCGGCGGCGCCGCCGGGGAGGGATCGGGCCGGGCGAAAGGTGGGGATAGCAATAGCAAAGGGGGGGGGGGGGGGGGGAATCAGCTGACGTAGCTGATTTTCCGGGACGTTGCTGATTTTCCCGGCGCCAGGAGGCGCCCATGTATCGAGGAATGGGCCCAGCGGCGGGGTTGAAACCAGCTGCATGCAGCAGATTTCGTAACACCCCCTTTCCCTATAGTTATCCCCCTCTTGCGTTCGGCCCGAAGGGAGCGAGCCCCGGGCGCGCGCGGACGCGCGGAACCCTGAGATGCCGGCGACTTCATTTCTTCGAGCTGGCCGGGTCGAGAGCTCTTGTTGGACAGCATTTGTCGTGGAGCATCGTGCCAATTTTTTCCGTACCCGGTTCGGCGTTCAATTGTTTGGGGCAGTTGTTCGGGGGCGGCCAAGTGGGGGTGATGACTGCATAGGGGGGTGGGTCTCATGGCCAGGGCCATGGTATGTCTCCAGTTTTCGTGGCGCCTCTCGTTATTTCAATGCGTCCCCTGGCTCCCCCCGGACCGCGCACATGCCTCGGGCCTTGATTTGCGAACTCCCTCTGGGATGTGCCGCGCCCCCGAGTTTGGGACTCCCCCTCCGGGGCGGGGGGCGCACGACAGGCGGATCGAGAGCTCTTCCCGGGGGACGTCCACTGGCCACCATGGAGCCCTGGCAGGGCCCATCCTGCGACCAGCATCGGCGTATGCGCCCTCCCACCGGCTCGGCCAGGGAGGCGTGGAGCCCGGTCCTGGGATCCAGGATCGGCGCGGCCAGGACCGGTGAGGCTGCCAGTTGACGCCGGCAGCCCACGTCGTGAAAATCACGACCCCTGGGATCCTGGCGGCTCTTTTTTTTCGAGCTGGGCGTTTTCGCCCGATGTCAGGCCCCGGGGCCCCCATGTCACAGATCGAGCTGGCTCGAAAGAGGGCGCAGGAAGAGAGGGGTTTAGGGCACGGGTCGTGATTTCTCACAAGGGGTTCAATTTTTTCGAGGCGTCGGATCTCAGGGGAGAGCGCAAGTCGGCCGCACGTAAGAGTGACCTTTCGCTGGAGTGACCTTGAGTGCTGGCACTCTGGGATCCCCAGATGACTGAGCTCGACGCGATATGTACATACATACCTATATACCTATGTCTACATACATGTACATAGCTATGTGTATATGTATGTGTGCATGAATGTATGTATGTATGCATGCATGTTTGTATGTATGTATGTATGTGTGTGTATGTATGCATGCATGCATGCATGCATGCATGCATGTCTGTGTGTATGTATGTATGTATGTATGTATGTATGTATGTATGTATGTATGTATATATGTATGTATGTATGTATGTATGTATGTACGTATGTATATATGTATGTATTTATGTATGTATGTATGTATGTATGTATGTGTGTATGTATACGTGTGTGTATGTGTATGTAAGTGTCTATATGTATACATATATGTATATATGCATGCATGCATTTATGTACGTATGCATCTATGTATGATGTATGTATGCATGTATGTATGTATGTATGTATGTATGCATGCATGCATGCATGCATGCATGTATGGGTGCATGTATGTATGTATGCATGCATGCATGTATGTATGTATGTATGTATGTATGTATGTATGTATGTATGCATGTATGTATGTATGTATGTATGTATGTACGTATGTATGTATGTACGAATGTACGTATGTACGTATGCATGCATGCATGCATGCATGTGGGCATGTATGTATGCTTGCACGCATGACTGTATGTATGCATGTGTGCCTGTATGCATGCATGCATGCATGCATGCATGCATGCATGTAGGTAGGTAGGTAGGTAGGTAGGTAGGTAGGTAGGTAGGTAGGTAGGTAGGTAGGTAGGTAGGTAGGTAGGTGTGTGTTGGTATGCATGTATGCATGTCTGTAGGTATGTGAGTGAGTGCATGGATGCTTATGTGTGTATGCTTGTAACGTATTTCTGTATGTATGTATGTATGCATGGATGGATGGATGTATGGATGGATTTACGGGTGGATTGATGCATGTATGTATGTACGTATGTATGTGGCCTCCCGAAGGACCACAGGGAGCTCCCCCGAAGGCCCCACAGGGAGCTCACACAGGAAGCTCCCCCGAAGGCCCACACGCCTCGTGGCCCCACAGGGAGCTCCCCCGAAGGCCCCGGTGGCAGGGTTCGCATGGCGCCACCGCACCCATTCCGGAACACCCCTCGCCCGTTCTGTGGCCCCATGGGGAGCTCCACGGAAGGCGTGGCTCTCAGTTGCGGTACTCATAATTGCTTATGGTTGGGTCTTTCGCAAGGATATTTCAAATTTACCCCGAGCTCCATCAAGACTTCGGGATCACATTCCAAGTATTGTTCGGGAATGTTGTTCAACTCCCTAACGTTGTCTTTGAACTCTCCAGGGCCGTCTTCGTGCCCACTTTGGTTGCCCCGGAAAAAGGCCGTCAGAAATGGAAATTCCTGAGTTCGCCTTTCCAGCTCAGCTAGACCTTCAGCGTGCGCGCCAAGAGAGAGCCAAATGAGAGGACCTGCCCAAGCCTTTGGAGCGCTTTGCCTCAAGATGCCTCCAAGGTGGTCGCGAAGGCTCTCGAGGCGCCCCCCAGATGTCTTCAGAGACTCCCAGGAGGCTCCCAGGAGGCACCAGGAGCTTCCCAAGAGGCCCCGAAAGACTCTCAAGACGCCGCCAGAAGGTCCCCAGGAGAGTCCCAACAGTCCACGGCCTGTATCCAGGAAACTTCTGACCCACGGCCCAGGCATGGCAATTAAAGACCAGGGAATTGTAATACTTCCCTTTTTTTAATCTTACCCCCTTCTGATTTTTTCCACAACAGACCATAATTAAGGCCCCCGTCACCACCGAAGAAAGATCCCAGGAAGCCTTCGAGGGCCCCAAATCATCGAACACCTAGAGTGAATTTAGGATTCTGTGGTTTACGCATTTTCCCTTTATACGTTTCCGAGGCTTGCGCAGGGATTCCAAGAAGGTCGTTGGATGCACAAGGCACTTCAACAATTGAGATTCCATGTGTTAGCCTGTCGAGCCGAGCTAGAACTTGAGCGCGCGCGAAGCGCGCGCGATGGTTCTAGTGTATGTATATATATATATAGAGAGAGAGAGAGAGAGGGAGAGAGAGAGAGAGAGAGAGAGCGAGAGAGAGAGAGAGAGAGCAGTGCATTGCGCGCTCGGGTTGTGCCGCCCCATGGCTCCCGAGAGTCGCGCATCAGAGGTCACTCTTGCCTGGGGTTACTCTTCGAGTATTGGATCGACTGCAGCAAATACTCACCCTACCATTTTGGGCTTTCGCCAGACCAATGAAAACAAGCTTCGTCGTTCCTGTAGACCTCATCGAGGAAATCAAGTCAGGGGTACAGTGGAGACCCATGCTAAGAGACACCCTGCATGCCTCCAGGGTGCCCTGGGCTTCCTGGATTTCGCTGGTTTTGCGATGGAAGGCGTGACGTTCCCACACCGAACATTTCGTGGACGTCCTGGGGTCTCATGTTATGATGCTCCGACCTACTTTAGCCTTGATCGCCAGAAAGAATTTCGAGCGCCCAAAAGAGTACCCAAACTCAAGGGTGTTCGCGTGTCAGGCCCTGGGAGGTACTCGCCCGACACTGTCTCGGCACTGTTTCGACACTCTTCTGACACTTTCCCGGGTGCTCGAACTTATTTCTGGGATGCGGCCCTTAAGCAGGATGGGAACAGCATACTCCAGATTTTGTAATAAAGGGAGGGGGGTCTCATTTCGGGGGGGGGGTCTCTTCCGGGCTATCTTGGAGGGCCTGGGGGGACTGGGGACGATGTTTTGGAGGGTTCTCCCACGGGGAGGTCTGAAATGGCTTGTCTTGGAGGGTCCAGACCCCCTCCCTTTTATTACGAAATCTGGAGTAAGTCTCAGGGTTGGGTTTCTCGTGGAAGGTTTCCTGTGGGCCGGCCTCCACCTGCGAGTCGCTGCTGCGCTCGATCCCCTGCTCGAGCTCTCCTGGCGTGCAGGGCGAGGGTTTGGCCTCGCGGGGCCGCAGCGTGCCGTGTGCCAATGGGGCGCCGCCGGGGCCAGGGAGAAAAGGGGGCGGCGGCGCGCGGCGGGGGCGGCGGCGGGGGGGGGGAGGGCGGAGAGGCGAGGAGGGAGGAGGCACGGGAGGAGGAAGGGAGGGAAGGAGGGGGGAGCAGGAGGGAGGGGAAGAGCAGGGAGGGGGAGAAGGAGAGGCAAGGAGGAGGAGGAGGAGGAGGAGGAAGAAGGAAGCAAGGAGCAAGGAGAGGAGGAGAGGAGGAGGAGGAGGAGGGGGGAGGAGGGAGGAGGGCAAGGGAGGAGGAGGAGGAGGAGAAGCGAGGAGGAGGAGGAGGAGGAGGAGGAGGAGGGGGGGGGAGGAGGCGGAGGAGGATGGGGAGGATGGCAGCGGCTGCGTTCGGGTAACACCAAAGCTGTCAGGGAAGCAGGAAATCAGGATGTTGGGGGTGATGATGATTATGATGATGATGGTGATGATGATCATAATGGTGATGCTGATGCCGATGACGATGATGCTGATTATGATAATGATGATGGTGATGCTGATGATGATGATGATGCTGATGATGATGATGACGATGACGATGATGATGATGCTGATGATGATGATGATGATGCTGGCGATGCTGATTATGCTGATGAGTGTGATGATCATGGCGATGCTGATGATTATTATGATGATGATGCTGATGATGATGATGATGCTGATGATGCTGATGATGCTGATGATCATTTGTGTGTCGATGATGACGGTGCTCATGATGATAATGATGCTGATGATGAGGATGACGATGATGATGATGATGATGATGATGATGATGATGATGATGATGATGATGATGGTGATGATGATACTGATGAAGCTGATCATGATGATGATGGTGGTGGTGACGCTGATGTTGATGTTGATGCTGATGCTGATGCTGATGCTGATGCTGATGCTGACGCGGAGGAGGCGGAGGTGGAGGAGGCCTACAATTGCGTCAGCCGTGGCCCCTACGTGCCTCCTTTGGGGCCTATCTGGTCTTTGACACCCCTCCTCGAGAGATCGTCGACACGGTGGGTTCCCCCGGTTTGTGTGTGTGTGTTTGTGTGTGTGTGTGTTTGTTCGTGCGTGCGTGCGTGCGTGTGTGCGTGCGTAAGTGTGTAGATGCGTGAGTGTGTGTGTGTGTGTGTGTGCGTGCGGGTGCGAGGTACATAGTTCCTTCATCTGTGGCTGCCCAGGGGGAAGTGGATGTGATGTGAGGGGAGGGGATCAGTCACGACGACTGCGCAGGAGGGTGCCAGGCGGACCTTCACCGCAGAAGTATAGGCGGAGTGGGCGCAGCTGTCCTTCCCAACCGCCCGTTCCGTCGCCGCCCTCCCAGGCCACTCCGACGCGGTTTCCCGGAAGACTCGGGGAGGTGAGTGGGAAGAGCATGCAGAGGGAAGGGGGCAAGTGGGTATGGGCGGGTCGTGTCGTGCTGCCGCTTCCCTCGTCAGCAACTTCAGCGACTTCCCAGCAAGCGCGCCGCAGCCTCCTCTCTTTGTGTGTGTGTGGCATGTTGCGCCGTTTGTGTTTATGCCTCATGATACGCCGAAGGGGGCAAGGGGGCATGGGGGTGGACGTGGGAGTGTGCACGGTGTCCACCGGCGGCCGCCGGCGACCCCCGCGCTGTCAAGAACCAGTCGCGGGGTCGACACGACGCGAACCTGCCGTAGGAGACCGCCCACGCTCTGGAGGCCTTGAGGTCGATGGAAGCCCCCAGGGGCCCCAGAGGCGGCCAGCGGGGGCCCGGAAAGAGCCCAGAGCCTCGATCGGTCGATCCTCGACCCTCGAGCCTGGATGTCCCCACCGTTCGACCCTCGAGCCTGTTGCCTGCGCCGTGGCCGCGCTTGGCCACGAGACCCTTGCCGCTACTTCCTCCCTTCTTGCAAGCGCTCGGCTTGAAGGGCGACGTGTATTCTTAGCCGTCCTCCGCGGTGCAGAAAGGCGACTGCGACCATGCAATTGAAGTGGGAGGCTGCGCAGCGGACGAGACCTTGGGGAGCGTGGCGTGACAGTATTTGCACCACTTGAAGTGGTTGAGATTACGCTTGCAGCCACAGGGCGCTCGCACAACCTTGGATTCACTCCCCTGCCAGGTCCAGGGCTTGTACACCCAACAGCCGCTGCCAAGAGACGATGAACCAGGTGCCATCTTGCACGGCATCAGTCGGGAAAGTGAGACGATCGGGATGGTCCCCAGAAGGATCTGTGACAAATTCTGAAAATGCGATTGGGGCCGCTATTTCCCAGTGCCAAATAGTCGAAGTCCCCTGAGCCCCCGCTACGTACTTGATCCGAAGTGGCTACGGACTCCTCTCTCCTCTGCCTCCATCCTCCTCCTTCTCTTCCTCCTCCTCCCTCCTCATTTCTCTCCTCCTTCTTCCTCCTCCTCCCTCCTTTTCCTCCCCCTCCCTCCTCCCTCTTCCTCCTTCCTCCTCCTCCCCCTTCCTCCTCCCTCTCTCCTCCTCCCTCGTCCCTCCTCCACCTCCTCCTCCTCCTCCTCCCTCCTTTCCCCCCCCCTCCTCCTCCTCCTTCTCCTCCTCCTCCAGCTCCTCCTCCTCCTCCTCCTCCTCCCTCCTCCCTCCTCCTCCTCCTCCTCCTCCTCCTCCTCCTCCTCCTCCTCCTCCTCCTCCCCGTCGTTCTCGTCCTCTCCCTCCTCCCCCACACCCCGGCCACCTGCTGCCGCTCGCCGAGGCCGTCGACCCGCGGGACGGCATGCTGGCTTCCTGCGGTGGCGTGGCGCTCGGTTGCGGCGAGGAGGAAGTTCGAGTGGAGATTTTCCCCACTTATCATCATCATCATCAGCAGCATCATCATCATCGTCATCACCAGCATCACCATCATCACCATCATCCTCATCATTAACATTATGCGTATAATTATCAGCATCGTCATCATCAGCAGCATCATCAACATCATCAGCAGCAGCAACATCATCAACATCCTCATCAGCATCGTCGTCACCATCGGCACAAGCATCAGCATCATCATTATCATCATCATCGTCATCATCACCGTTATCAGTAGCATTTTCATTATCTTCGCCATCATCAGCCTCATCACCATCGACACAACCATCCTCATCATCACCATCGCCATCGGCACACGAATCACCAACATCATCACAATCATTTTCAGCATCCGCATCATCGACACACTCACCATCATCATCATCAGCAGCATCACCATCACCATCATCACCACCATCATCAATATCATCACCACCACCATCATCATCATTATCGTCACCATTAGCATCATCATCATCAGTATCATCATCACCACCACCATCAGCACCACCATCATCATCAGCAGCATCACCATCATCATTAACATGGCGTTTGGCTGCGGGGCTCTAAGCCAGGGCACGGCATGTCGCCCGCTCGCACGAGGGCGGGTCCCCGCGTGGCGCGAGGAAAACAACACACGCAGGTGCCAATGCGTTGCGGATACAGTCGGGGCCCTGAAAAAAAAGAACCCTTTTCGTTTGGGAGGGGCTCCGCGTTCCTTACGTGTTTCGCAGATTGCTTCAGGTTGTCCTTCTGTTTTCGTTCGGCAATCGATTTTTAACTTATGGAGAAAAAAAAAGGGGCCCCGATCCTCATTTAAAGTTCCTTGGGTCAACGCCCCGACGGTAGTAATTCGCGTGCGGATCGAAACGACTCTCACAGTCGACCCGCATGGTGAGGATGGGTAGCCTTCCCAAGGGCTTTCCAGATTTCATAATAAAAAGGGGGTGGGCTGATTTGGGATGGGGTCAGATTTGAGCTGTCTTGGAGGGTTCCAGTGGGTCTGGGCAAAACGCCGCCCTTCATGGCTTGTTGGGGGGTGTCTGGAATTGCCCGTCTGTGGGGGTTTTGACCCCCTCCCTTTTATGGCGAAGTCTGGGGCACTCTGGGTTCCTCCATGGGCGTGGGGGGAGGAGCGCCGCGACGGGGGATCGGAACGCCTTCGGTGCGCAGCGCAGGTGGCTGCAAGCGATGGGGGTCGATGCGGAGCTGCCGACGGGGATGGCGCACCCCCGACGCTTATGAAGAAACTCGGGGTACTCCAGATTTCGTAATAGAAGGGAGGGGGTCTGGACCCTCCAAGACAAGCCATTTCAGACCCCCCCCCCGTGGGAGAACCCTCCAAGACATCGTCCCCAGACCCCCCCAGGCCCTCCAACATTGCCTGGAAGAGACCCCCCCCGAAATGAGACCCCCTCCCTTTTATTACGAAATCTGGAGTACCCTCGCATCCTCGCCTCCTCGGTCCATCCTTGGCCACGTTTGTTGGCCGCGCCCCGCTCGAGAAGCCTTGAAGTGGGCCTCCAGGACTCTTGCAGCCTTACCGCGCATCCTCCTGATACGGGTCGACTGTGCCTCTCCGTGCGATCGTCAGCCCCATGGTGGGGCAAGGCAGAAAGTGGAGGAGCAGGAAGGAGGAAGGAGGAATGGAGCTAGAAGGTTCTAATAGAGGTTCAAAAGACCGCAGAAAAGTCCCACAGGGAGGACCGTGGAGCCCGTGACAGACACCCGAGGTCGTTTGGAGCGGCAGTCGTTTTGACCGAGACGTCCCAAGGAGTCTGTGCAGGAACCGCACTCTCGCCTCAAGGGGGGGGGGCCTCTCGGCAGATGGGGGCCTTCCTCGAAGGCCCCCAGAGGCCTCTGGGAAGGCTGCCTTCTGGGAAGAAGAAGGGCCCAGGGAATGCACGAATCCAAGGATGTCCCCCTATACTGTTCTCATGCTCTGGGGTCCAGGCGGCTGCCGCCACTTGGGAGTCATGTTCTGAGGTGCGCATGGCCGTGCTCACCCCCCTGTCCTCGGGTAGCCGACCTCCGGCTCCTCGATCCTGCCTCTTCACCTTCTGTGATGCTCGGCTGATGGGCCTGTTTTCCACCACCACTCCTCCTCCTCCTCCTCCTCCTCCTCCTTCTCCTCCTCCTCCTCCTCCTCATCCTCTTCCTCCTCCTCCTCCTCCTCCTCGTCCTCATCCTCCTTCCCCTCCAACTTATGGTGGTGGTGGTGGTGGAAAACAGGCCCAC